TCTTTTATACGCAGCAGCCCATCGTAGCGAGATTTGAATTCGGAACAAATAATGGGCACTAATTACTTTGGGGGGAGGCAGCTTATTACAAAACTCATCCTCTCCGACGCAGATATTGCGGAAATCCGTGCAGTAAGTTGGAAGCTTATAACACATTTTGAGGAATGTCTTGTTTTTTTCCCCTTCAGCAGAAAATAACATTTGTTTTTGTTGTGTTTAAAGCAGAGTTTAAATTAATTTAACCCAGTGACACATGTTCAGAGACTAAGCAAGCTGCTAAATAATTCCTTGGAATAAATTGCTCAGGAACCAAGTACATTAATTTACGGCTCTCCTTATGCTGACAGATGTGAGGGCGGCAGGAGGACCTACAAATATTAACATAAAACAAATTTGCTTTATTCTTCTTCATATTTCTTCTTCATCCCCGACTTGAGCTCACCCAAGGCTCCTTCTCTAATTATCCACGAGGTCAGTAAGCAAAATTGGGAAGAAGCTGGGAGATCAATACAAATTATTCCTGAGCAAACCAGTGCTGACAGTTTGAATTGCAGCATATGTTTACCCAAAATCAGGCAATTTATCTTAATATCAGCAAAGTAATGCAGTGCAGGTGAAAGGTCAGGCAATCTCTCCCCCTCATAATTACCCAGTTCTAAAACAGGAAAGTGGTATTGATTGGCCTGGCTCGGTGCTCTGTGACTGGACGTGCTAGAGTCTTGCCCTGGCTCGGCTGGGCCCTCGCCTTGTAAACTCGGCGCGCCGAGGATTTATTAGATGTGCGCGCGGGGTCCTGTGCTTTCTCCTCCAGTTGCAGAATTTGCCCGCAACGTCTGCACGGCTCCCGGTCCCGCCAGTCGCAGCGTGACGGGTTCCATGCGCTTGGGCCCTCGGAAGGCCTCGGGCCGGCCCCGCTGCGGGCAGCTGCCAGCAACCCCACCCTCGGTGATCAGAAACCTCCCAGAACCACGAGCACGTGCCACTCCTCCTGGAGGCGCAGGACGAGGGCCGTTTTTTTCTAATTCTTCCAATGTTAAATTCATCGGGCGTCCAGGAGTTGAGCCCCCCGGATGGGATTTCAGGCTGCACCCGCGGCGCCTGCCCGGGCCCTTTGTGGCGCCCGGCCTGGCGGGGAACGGGGTGGGGGGGGTGGACCTCTGGGGGCGCGGCGGCAGGGCCTCTTCCGAGAGCTCGATCCTGGCGGTGCACTCGAGATGTGAACGCTCTCTGGGCCGAGGTGGGAGGTGAAAGGTAGCCTCCTATTTATATTGCTTTGAAATATTTTCGGTCCTAGAAGGAGAATTATCAATTCAACTGAAACATTGGAAAATGTCTCTCCCAGAATGAGAGTGTATGGTTATTACAAGTCATAAAGCTTCTGAAAGCTTGCATTAAAGCGTCCATCACCTGTCAGGGCCATTTGCATGAAATCAATAGTGGCCGCCCATCTATCTTTTCTGATCACCTTTCATCAGGCCGATTCATTAAGTCAAACAGTCATGGTGATTAGCTGGGAGAGAGGAGAAACCCTGACACGTTAGAAATGCACAGTGGGCCACCCTTTTTGTTCCCTCATCAAGAAATGTAATACTTTATCTAATGCTTTTTGGGCCAAGTCGCTGGGTGAGGCCCATCCGCCCGGCTGCCGGCATGGCACTTCCGCCTTGACACCCTTGTCCTGGCCCGGGCAGAGACATGACAAATTGTCCCCCAAGTCAACGCTGACAGCTTCTGATGATTAATGGTTTGATTATGAAGTGGTTTTACACATATAGAATTTACATCACAGAGAGTTAGAAATTTTGCCATGTCACATACGCCGAGGCATTTTGAAGAGCTTTACTATTTGCAAAGAAGAAAGAGGGCAAAATCGCAGCAAAAGCCATGTCATGTAAAATCAATACGTCGGATCAATGCTTTATTAACAAGAAAATGTCTTACTTCACATTCCTGTGCGGACCTTTGTCTCTGGGATGTATGATGGAATGTCAGATCATATTGTGGCCCTCAACTTACGGGCGTGTTGTTGAGTGTGCGTGCGAGTCTTCCGGCCCCGGCGCGTCCGAGACCCGCCATGGGTGTTGACATCGGCGCTCGAGGAAAAGCGGTGACCAATTATTTCAGAGAGCACTTTCAAAGGCAGCCTCTAACCTCGTTCCTCGAAGCCGGCGCCTTTGTGTTCCCCGCACTCTTGCAGACCTGCTGAGTTGGGTGGTGTTAATCATCAAATTACATGCTGACTAATGAGTGATGGCCCAAATTGTGGGCTGCGTAATGAATAGATGGCGGCAGGTCCTATTAGTCTCAGAAAACCCCCTGATTTATGTCGCGCCATGCACCGTGGCGTTACTCCACGGAAAACGATATCTACATCAAGAAGTAATGTACTCTAATAAGTATTTTCATCTTAACTCACGTCCCCGGGCCTCCGGGCTCAGTTTTTGTTGGAGTCACGCGAAGCCATAATAAAGCCCAATGGCTCCTTATAAAGCTTGTTAAA